TCCAAAGAAAAGTTATCACTCGAGCAGGCATTATTTGGCATGCATGTCTCAAATAACATGTTTAATGAGTTCCTGTTCTAGCCACTGCTATTACGAACCAGACCCACTTGTGAAGGCCACGTTAATTTCTGCGTGTTATACGACGATTGAGGCAGAGCTGATACGTTGGCCAGCTGGCCAGGTCTGCCTTATTGCTCTGATACTCCTCCGTGATTCTCACCCTGCTAACATGAACCAAGAGGTACAGACTGATGTAGAGTCCCAGCAGCGCTAAAATTACCATGTGTCAGTTAAAGGTAGGCTCGTTGGTCAAAGTTGGACGGGAACTCATTAGGGTGTATTTTTGCGACAGATATGTCAGAGCGGACCTGTAGTTTTATGGAACAAACCCGCATAAGAGTGTAGTTTTGTGGAAAGTAATTCTTAAAGCTTAATTTGATGATAGTTTACTCAAAGTATGTGTAGACAGTTAAATTTAATGTAATTCATATGTACTAAATGTGCCTAATGCTGTATTGCTCTTACGATAGGGGAATTTATTGCCAGCGGAAGTGATGATGGTAGATGGTTCATATGGGAGAAAAGAACAGGAAGGCTTGTTAAAATGCTTGCAGGGGATGGAGCTGGTAATTGCAATTTCATTTCTTACTGTGGCTATCCTTGAGTACTGCTTCTCATGTGCCCCTATATCTTGTTTAGTTGTGAACTGTATACAGTCTCATCCCTATGATTGTGCTGTTGCAACGAGTGGAATTGACAATACAATAAAGGTATTTGATCTGATCCTTTTCTTTTCTTGAAGTACTTGAATAATTTGCCCTCACTATTCACTTTGTCTTTGTTTATTGCTAGTTATGGACACCGGATGCAGAAGGTACTTCTATGGTTGATGGACCAGAAATTGATGTGTTAAGTGCCATAGAGAACAACCAGAAGAAATTATGCCGCAACCGTGAAACTTTGTTGTAAGCTGTCAAAACTTCCTTAGGAGTTTAGCCATATGCTATTTTGGCTTGCAATGAAATTACCACATCTATCATGTGGTACCATGCTGTTTCTTTTGATCTGTGTACCAAGTTATATATAGAAACTAGCTAGTAATGATTTTCCTATGTTACGTATCTATGTGCAGGCCTTTTGAGTTTTTGGAACGATTTGGGGCGCATGAATTTGCTGAAGGAAGCCTGCATCCTTTAGAGTGTGCGCAGACTTGATATACTATTGCTTGGGTTGCTGAGGTACTGCTGTTTGCTGGAGATTTTAGGGCATTCCCAACATTTTACTCGGGAATAATGTGAAACCTCACTTTTGCCCTCTGATTTCGGCCTTTTGATTTGTTCTTTCTTTCACTTTTCAGGAAAAGGGAGGACATTTAATCCAAGATACAAGCAGCCAGTGTCTAGGTAAACATGAGATTGCAAGGTTGTGTTGCAATCGTGGCCAGTGTTTTGCACACCTTGCTTAGATAATATTGCAGGGGCGCTGGTATTAAGTTGTTGCTTGAGATGTGAATAGACAGTAAAGGCTGTTTGTTGGTGCATTCACTTGTACAGATTGTAGAAAAGCGAAGTCTTGTAATAAGTAAATCATCTGTACATGCTTCCATAATAGAGCCGTCTGCTGTGACGTTTTTCTGGGGCGAAAGGTCGGCGACTTGGATGCTACGTCGTCGGGCAAGTCTACTGGTAAATGCAGGTGAGACCTCGGGTAGAGAAGCTGCAGTAGAGACATACTGTATGTTGCTTGGTGCCGACTTATGGTTTTGGGTCCCCATTTGGTCCAAATGAATGCTTACATGATCGTTTTTAGTTCAGTGTAAGTGCCGTGATGCAGTAGAGACATCACCATCGATAGTTCAGCCTACGTCGTAGGTTGACGGGCGAAGTGGGCAGGCAACACTATCGAACACGCAAAGGGCGAAGTGGACGTGTTTCTCTTTAGATGCAAGAGCGTTTCGCTCACCCTTGCAAGGAAGTGACGGAACCCTAGCGACGCTAAGGCTGTCTCGGCTTGTTTTATAAACGTTTCTGTTGTCCGCGGCAAGGCTGCGGGCGTTTTGATAATGCCAGTTTCTCCGGGTGCGGGGGCCCTCTGGTATGTTTTTCCGCTCCGGTTTCATCTGTCGGCTGGCGTTGCGAGTATATGTTCCAGCTGGAAGTATGTAGAATGTCCGAACCTATCACTTGGTAGCCAACAGTACGTCACTAGTACTAGTAGTATTTTTTTTTTGAACAAATCACTAGTACTAGTAGTAGTACTTTTATCTAGAGCAGGGCCAAGCAAAGCAAAACAAACCAAATCAGCGCCCTATCACTAGTGCCTGGAAGCCTGGAATCCAGAGGTGTTGCTTTGCTGACGTCTCAATCGCGCCATCCCCATCCAGCTCGTGTTCTCCGATCTCATCCAAGACAAAGAGACCCATCGTGAGAAATGAAAATACCCTCGTGGTAATCGCGTCGACTGTTGAATTTGCCCCTGTCCAGATCATGATGTCCTACGCTGTACAGCAGACGTACATCTTTCTTTCTACCAACAACTTTTATTATGTTTATTATACACGAAGAAGAAAAGCAAAGACCCAAATTACTAATCCCACGTCCGCACGCACTAGCTAAGAAGGAGCCCTCGAGTCCACGTCTCAGCATGCTGCGGTCTTCACCAAGGCTCGTCGTGGTTTACAGTACATACACCGAGGGAAAAAGAAAGTCAAAGGCCATAGCTTCACGTATAGACCAGGCGCGCACGCAACGGATCACGCCAAAACGAGAAAAAAAAAATCCTTGTCTCGCCTCGCCGTGAAGCACTTGCCCGTCGGTCCGGTCAGGTCCGGCCTCTCCCTTCCCCTCTGGTGGCTGGCCGGTGGTATTCCTTCCTACGCACACCACACGCGCGCACGCCACAAAGTACAACTAGTAGTACCTGCCACTAGGTCGCAGTGGGGCCCACGCATCACCTGGTATCCGATTGGCTGTCGCCGCATGCATGCCTAGTCAAACAAAACACACCGACCCCCCGCCGTCGCCCATCGGCCCCCTGTTTTTCAGCTATTTTACAAAGGCTGCCATCGCTTGACTCTCTAGGTCTACTGGGCAAGAGACCGTCGCGTGTGACTGACAGGTCGCCCGCTGGCCCCGTGGGCCGCTCCTGTCAGTGAAGCCAAGTACGGATGCGCGTCGCGTTTCGGTAGGCCCAGGCTTGCCCCGCCGCCCAACGAGGACCGTCCACCCAAACGCAATTATTCCTTCCACGGGCCGGGGTCTGGCTTGCCCCCTCGATGCCCTCCTTTTCACGGCTTTGCCACTGGAAAACGACACGCTATTTGTTTTTGTCTTTGTTATCATTATTATTACTCAGGTTGTTTTGTGTACTCGCCCTTGTAAGATCTGATATTTACTGGACCAGCGGAGACATTCTATCGTGCTGTGCGTGTATTGTTCTTGTTTTTTTACAACGCAAGTACTCTAGTTTTTTCCCCTTTGATCAAGGAATGCCAACGCAAGTGTGACTTTCCTACATCGTGCACGTATTCATGTAAGCCCAGACTTCACCCTATTTCCGAAACAAGAAAATTACCCCTCCGTCCCACAATATAAGACGTTTTTGCAAGCTGTTTTAGCTTGCAAAAGCGTCTTATATTATAGGAAGGGGGAAGTACATTACATGCACAAGCAAATAAAATGTGACACCAGATACTTGCATGCCATGACAAGGGTGGCGGTGTGACTGGACCATGGCACGTTGCGATCGTTGAGATGCATCCGATGGCCTCAACAAGCTTTGTCTTTGATTTTATTGTGTCGATCGATTTAGTACATGTGAAGGAGCGTCCACACTCATGCCCAAGGAATGTAGGTGTTGAATCACACAACCTTGTTAATAAATATCGTTTCTCCATCTACTTCGCCCAATGGTCTAATTGCGTAGGTCATAACATCTTGCATGCTATAGAAATAGAATAATCCATTGTGAAAGACGTGGAATGTGCTAAAATAAATAAATTTGTAAACAACTTAATGTGTGCCAGTTGCGCACATGATAGCCCAATTAAGGTTGGTTGTAATGGGCAGTATCATACGTTAGTATCATGCATATGATACTAGTGTATGATACTACCTCCCTAATGCATAGTATCATATGGTAGTATCATAGATGACTTTATTTATTGTCATGCATGACACATACTAGTGTAGCATTTATTATGATACGGTATCATGATATGATACTCAACCCTCTTTTACTTCATTTAATTCTATGCCACCTCATCAAAGTTGCCTAGTTGGCATGCATGATACTAGCTATGATACTTCCATTACAACCAGCCTAAGAAATAAGAATGTATTAGTAATGTCGTTCTGATACTCATTTATAGTTTATAAACTTTATCAATAATGCCATGCCCTATTTAGGAGAAAAGTTGCACGTCGTGTGGTAATACGCTTTCTCTCTCCACTTCGCTATAACCATCACCGGTTTCGGAGGAATCCATTTCAAAATGTTATGTCCATGGAAGAAAACTTTGGAGATAATAGAGGTAACTTATTTTAACGAGAATCGATTGAGATATCAAAACAAAGAAAGTAGTTGAAGCCATTTTTTCTTCAGTTCAGTGAAGAGCTTCACACAAAAAAGTATAAACTTGAAGGTCCAAAAGGCAAAAGCTAACTGAAAAAATAAATCAGGACAGCGTTACATGTCCGCCATGGGGGACGAGGTGGAGGAGGACAAAAGAGGGCAGCTCCCGCAAGATCTTGAGATGTGTGAAGACTACCGCAGACTGCGCATCAGCTTATTAGCACTACCACAGCCAGCAGCGCCCCCACCATCCTCCAGTTCATTCTTCTCCCTAACCCTGCTGCAGGTAGTTTGCCTTGCCAAGAACAAGGCAAGCAAAGCCTATCGATCGATCGATCGATCGATCGGAATCGATCTCATGTGGCAGCTCTGCCCATCCATCTGAGATCGATTGATCGATCGCCAGGTGTGTATACCCGTTAATTTCCATGGGAGGCGACGGCAAGTTGGGTGCCGCCGAGGCCGCCGTCTGCTGCATGTGCGGCGACCATGGCCTCCTGCCGGAGCTGTTCCGCTGCGCCGCCTGCTCCTTCCGCTCCCAGCACACGTATGTATCCTACCTCTTTTCCGTTGGCGCATATGTGTGATTAGAAGAGCTAATTTTGGATTTATTTGCATGGATATTCTTGGATACGGGGATAGCTAGGTTAATTAGCAACGACGGCAGGTTCGTGAAATAGGAGGATTTTTGTGTGTGTGTGAAATGGTTCTAACCGAACGACGACACAGCATATCACAAACATGCGCACATGGAATTAGCTAACACACCAACATACGCAAGCATTGATTCGCATATGGCTATTCATCATTAATTCTGCATCATCATCTAGCTTGGCGTACGAAGTACCATACAATGCCAGCAGTAATATAATGGATTAGTTTCGTGCTTGGATTCATCTGAACAAGAACTGTTCAATGGCAATCCCCTTTTGAGTTTGCATTGGTATATTTGGTGACACGTTTGGCATACACATATCTATCTCCGATATATCATTTTCGCCACCCTGTGCCCGGCCCGCCCCTACATCCAGCCAATTAATTTGTTCCGACTTTTTGCACGATTCCACGAGAATTCGTCAACAAAATGGGGCCGGCCAAAGACCCAAGAGATATATACACACATCCGATCGATGTTGATATAAAGCTGTACGGTCGCTGTACCCTGTATAGACATCCAGCTAGTTCAGCCACAGCTGAATCGATCGGTCGCCATTGTTCAGTTCTTTGATATTTCACGTGTCTACCATCTGCAAATGTGTGCGACAGTGCATGCAATAACGCAGTACATGCACTCCATGTATCTGCATGTACTCCGTATGTACGTACTACCTAGCAACTAAATGTGTACACATGGTCATGTGTCACGTCAGGTACTGCACGGATCGGTACCCCAAGGCGGAGGCGTACGGCACATGCAACTGGTGCCTGAGGGCAGGGCAAGGAAGCGGCGACGGCGGCGGCGCCGATCCTAGCCCGGTGATATCCACCTTCAAAGTGCCCGGCCGGCCTGTGCCGGCCGCTGACCGCATGGATGTCCCGGCTTGCAGCGGTGGCAGCAGATCGATGCCGGGGAAGGTCGCGGCTCGCGGCGACTTCGCCGCGGAGTTGAACAAGCCTATCAAGAAGCAGCAACACCGGCGGCGGCTCCTGCTGCAGCGGTCAGCGTCTGACCTGAGCAGTGGCGTCCGTGCCAACCGCGGCGCCGGGCCGCCCTCTCCCGGCGTCGCCCGGGGAAGACCGAGGGTTCGGAGGTACAAGCTCTTGGAAGAGGTCATCAGTAGCTAGCTGAGCGCCGTACATGTCGTGCATGGTTTAGTGTGCGTATTTAAGCATGCGGGCATGTATTTACGTACATGTAGTAGACGTGAGCAGGTGCGGCGGTGGAGTTCTATAGCTCTATATATGTGATGTTGAGAGCATGACGATCGACTTGCTAACAATAACATGCAGCTCGATCATTCACTTGATTCCCGGTTTAGAGAGTGTTAATGTAAGAGAGACAAATGACAAATGAACAGTAGCCGAGTTCGTTCCTCGATGATGTTTACATTTGTAAAGGAACAGTGTAAATACAAATGAAAGGGCTTAATTGGGCCAATTAAACTTAAATATTTTTTAGTCAAAAATACCTTCGGCTTTAATAAGGCCCAGTTAGTCTTATCTGTTGGATCGCCCATATAATACACATACTTTGGTGTATCACAATGCATCGTAAAATTTCCCATTATTTATCGTTGGTTGGGATCACACTTCTGTTTCGGAATATAAGATGTATCGATTTTCATGCAAGTCAAATTTGTGTATGTTTGACCATGATTATTGAATGAAATATTGACATATACAATACAAAATAAAAATATGAAAATAATTTTTGTGATAGATCTAATGATACAGATTTGGTACTGTAGATATTGGTATTTTTTCTTCTAAAAACTTGGTCAAACATATACATGTTTGACTTTAAGAAAACTAATTCACTTAATATTTTGGAACGAAGGCAGTAGTTTCTGAACGAATGCTATGTCGCCGAAGGGATGCCTTGCGTGTTGGTTGGATAAGGTGCATGAGCGAAACTATCGTTATAACATCATCATCATCTTGTTAAGTCTCCTAAACCCTCTAGGAAAAATATGAGAAGATATGTGCAATATGACATCAAAAACTCTCGAAGAAAACGTGGGAGCAAAAGGAGAAACTGACATATCATAATACCCGTATTACTATTACCTCATTAAAAACCTTCCAAGAGAAACCATTCGGAAAAAAACTCATAAATAAAAAGAATGCAATATCAAAGATCCGAGGACCACAAATATATTATCATACATGGATACACCCACCGAACTTTGCAAGTCTCGAAGTCGTCTCATATCAATTCCATTAATACAGTTCTCAAATAAAAACATGGTAAGGACTTTGTACATAAATCAACAACATTATCACATGACTTCGTTTGCAAAGTATTTATCTCCCATTTTTCTGCAACTCATAGGGATAAAATAATTTAGGAGCAACATGCTTTGCAATATTATTCTTTATATAACATGTTTGCATCTGCGTAATGCATGCAACATTATCTTCATAGATAATGGTGGGTGATTCAAATGAACCAATCCCACTTGAACTTCCAATAAAATTCATCATTCCGCGAAGCCATACATACTCACGTGATGCTTCATACAGAATAATGATTTCAGAATGATTTGTGGATGTAGCCACCAAAGTTTGTTTTGTTGATTTCCAAGAGAAGGTTGTACCCCCATGCGAAAAGACAAAACAAGTATGTGATCTAGCATTATGGGGACCAGGTGGATATCCAGCATCACAATATCCCACCATAGTCATGTCTTGATTCCTCTGATAGAACAAACTATGAGCATCTACAGCCGGGCGCCCCAAACCTGCCTCATATGCCGGGGCGGGCTGCCCGGTCACGAAATTTTGACCCAGACGGGTGCCTCAAACGCCCGGGCTAACCGACACCCTTCAGATCCAGCCCAAATATGGGGTGGATATCGGGGCACCCGAGCGCGTCCACCACGTCAGACCCGACAGCCCAACCTCATCGCAAATTGCACCGAATCCACCAAATCGACCTATCGCATCGATTTGCTCTCTCCTCTCTTCTTCCTACTCCTCCCCTTCCATCTCGCCGCCCCGCCGCCGTGCGCGCCTTGTAGCCTTCCATAGCCTCTGCGCTGCCACCTCCGGCAAAGCAGTCCTCTCTCTCGTCCTCGCCGCCGGGGACGTCGTCGCCGGCCCAGACCCCACCGCAATATGTCCATCAACTCTCTAGCTCTGGCTTGCGTTCTATGTGTTTGATACATTGTCTGACCAATTTTTCTTGATTTTGTAGGGAAAATGATGAATTACGATGCTTTGCCGGACGAGGAGTATCGACCGATGGAGCTTGATTAAATGATTCAAGATGACTACTTTGATTCCTTGGATTCGGACAAAGAAGTGGACATGATCATGCTTATGAGCATGCAAGAGGAAATGGATCGGCAGGTGGAGCATATTCTCAACTTCAAGGGCTCAATCAAAGGGAGAAGAGTGATCAATCGGGATAGGGTGTCTAGAGCACGGCTATTATAGAAGGACTACTTTGCTCCGAACCTAACTTTCCCAGATGATCCATGGTTTCGTTGCCGTTTCCCCATGTGGAAACCATTGTTCTTGCGCATTGTGGAGGGAGTGGAGGCACATGATGACTACTTCAAGCTCAAGAGGGATTGATGCATCCAACTTTCTTTATCTGCTAAGCATAAGTGCACGACTTGCACTTGGTAATGCCGCAGATGCCATTGGTGAGATGGTCAGGAAGGGGGAGAGCACATGCCTGAAGACTACTGTCAGGTTTGCCCGCGCCTTGGTGCAGGTGTTTGGCGTAGAGTATCTGCGAGAACCAAATGCATAGGAAACAAAAAAGTTGTTGGCTATTGGAGAGGCCAGAGGGTTGCTAGGAATTCTCGGATCAATTGATTGCATGCATTGAAACCAGAAGAACTGCCCCAAAGGTTTGCGGGGAATGTATCAAGGTCACTCCAAAGAGGCCACCATCATACTTGAAGCGGTGGCATCACATGACTTATGGATTTGGCATGCATTCTTTGGAATGACGGGATCTCACAATGACATCAACATGCTTCAACGATCTCCGGTGTTCAGCAGTCTTTGCAATGGGGAATCGCCGCCGTGCAACTACACTGTCAACAACCGTGAGTACAACATGGGATACTATATTGCGGACGACATCTATCCTCAGTGGGCGGCGTTTGTGTAGACCATATCCAAACCACAGGGCAACAAACAAAGCCAACTTGCAAGGAAGAAGGAAGTAGCTAGGAAGGATGTGGAGAGGGCATTCAGAGTGCTTCAAGCTCGTTGGGAAATTGTTCATGGAGTTGCAATGACGTGGGAATCATAAACTTTTTGGCAGCTCATGACATGTTGTGTTGTTTTGCACAATATGATTGTCGAGGACGAGGATGATGGTGTAGCCCAAACCAATGATTTTGAAGCACATTAAGAACAAGTTCAAATCCCGGAAGATCAAGATGCAGCTCAGCTTATGAACTTTCTACAGATGCATCAAAATCTTCGAGATCATCAGGTGCACGCGCGGCTACTCAATGATCCCATGGAGCATATGTGGACCCACAATGGAAACAAAAGAGCTATTGTTTTAATTGTGCACTTCAATAAACTTTATGTAACAAGACCTATGTATTTTTGGTACCAACATTTGTTATTTACGTGCGACATTGGCGTGTATGATTGACATGCATGGATTTGCATGGATTTGAGAGTCCGGGTTTGAGATATGTGGATGCCGGGCATAAGATGTGAGGGGCCGGTGGGCGCTGTCCGCGAACGCGCCCGCGGGCGTATAGGGGGCTGGATTTGCCAAGTCCAGCTGTAGATGCTCTAAGATCTTTGGTTCCTTGAAGATATCTAATAAGATTCTTCACACCAACTCAATGCCTCTTGGTGATGCACGATATCTAGCCAATAAAGTCACTGCAAATGATATATCAGGCCTGGTAGCCAACGTGCTCCGATACGTCCATTTTGCATCATGTTTTCCTACTATTATTTATCATGTTTTGGGTCCTTATTTCACTTTATGATACAATTCTTATGCCTTTTCTCTTTTATTTTGCAAGTTTCACATGAAGAGTGAGATTGCCGGTAGCTGGAATTTTGGACTGGAAAGGGCTACAACAGAGATAGCTATTCTGCATGACTCTAAATGACCTGAAAATTTATAGAGAATTATTTTGTAATATATAAAAATACTGGCGGAAGAAATACCAGGAGGGGGGCCACCAGAGAGTGACAAGCTTCGGGGGCATGCACTATGAGCTTGTGGGCCCCCTGGCAGGCCTCCAATGCCCATCTTCTGCTATATGAAGCCATTTTCCTAAGGAAAAATAAATCATAAGAAGACTTTCAGGACGAAGCGCCGCCGTCTCAAGGCGGAACCTGGGCAGGATCACTTTTGCTATTCGGCGGAGCGATTCCAGGAGGGAGACCTCCCTCTAGGAGGGGGAAATCGGAGCCATCGACATCACCAATGATTCTCTCATCATGGGAGGACCAATCTTCATCAACATCTTCACCAGCACCATCTCACCTCAAACCCTAGTTCATCTCTTGTATTCAATGTTTGTCTCAAAACCTCAGATTGGTACCTGTGGGTTGTTAGTAGTGTTGATTACATCTTGTAGTTGATGCTACTTGGTTTATTTGGTGGAAGATTGTATATTAAGATCCTTAATGATATTCAATACCCCTCTGATATTGAACATGAATATGATTTGTGAGTAGTTACTTTTGTTCTTGAGGACATGGGAGAAGTTTTGTTATAAGTAATCATGTGAATTTGGTATTCGTTCGATATTTTGATGATATGTATGTTGTTGCTTCCTTTAGTAGTGTCATGTGAACGTCGACTACATGACACTTCACCATACTTGGGCCTAAGGGAAGACATTGTGGAGTAGTAAGTAGATGATGGGTTGCTAGAGTGACAGAAGCTTAAACCCTAGTTTATGCGTTATTCCATAAGGGGCAAATTTGGATCCATCTATTTCATGCTATGGTTAGATTTATCTTAATTCTTCTTTCGTAGTTGCAGATGCTTACAAGAGGGGGTAATCATAAGTGGGAGGCTTGTTCAAGTAAGAACAACACCCAAGCACCAATCCACCCACATATCAAATTATCAAAGTAGCGAACGTGAATCAAATAAACTTGATGAAAGTAAGTAGATGATAATT